CTATGATTAGAACACCCAATCTCCCCAACTAGTTCATGCTGCAACGAGCTTAGTTTTACAGAGAACCTTCCTTAAACAAAAAAAGTGGAACAGTCTTTCCTTTTTCTATAATAACTTGGTTTCTCTCCCCATCGATGATCAACTCTGACTACGTTTACATGCAGCCAATTTTCGGGTTATGGTCGGGTAACGGTCACTATTTGGGTTTCTGAAACATTAGGAATAACCCGTTTACATGCGAAAGCAGACAGAGTTTCTCCTGTATACATGGAATTGCAATATCCCGATGTAAATGGCGACACGCGGTTAGCGTCTGGACGTACAGACAACCTTAAGACGAAATATCCGTCATTTGCAATTCTTCTTCCTGTATCCAAAGACAACAACAACAGCAGCACGCGGATAATGAATAGTTCGGGGCAGATAGCGATCGCCTTTGTTTGCGCTTTGATGCTGGTAACGTTACTGACCTCGCTCCATGCTGTGCTGTGTCTTGCCAGGTCTCGCCATGTTTACTTTCGGTATACTGCACGCGGATTTTTGTATGCGCCGAGAAGTTTCTCTACTCAAAAGACCAAGATTCCTTGAACACAAATCACTATGGGGATATGCCGATGCGCGTTTACATGACCAAAAATTCGGGTTAGAAAAGGGGTACCCCAGGTATAATATCCCGGTTTTTAAAATCCGGGATATGAGCATATTCAGGTTTTTGCTGGTATTTACATGGCCGTTCGAGACTTTGAACGAGGTTTTGAACGGTTATTGGCTGCATGTAAACGTAGTCAGTTTACCGACGCTCCCCCTCCATCAGATTCAGGGGATTTTACCAAGGTCGCTGCTTCCCGCAGTCCTAATCGTCCTCAGTGCTGTTTGAGCTTTATCCTCGTGTCGAAGCAGTCTTCCTATATGAGAAAGAATGGTCCACCAACAGCAGAGTAGGTCATTGTGAGAACGAAAGCAACCGCTTATTGCATTAATAAAGGCTGTTCGCACTCCTCCACACTGATGCTCCCCTTAGATGCCTTATTCGAATTTTAGCATGCGATCAATTCATTATAATTGTGAACTCGTGAAATTATATTTTATTAACAAAGTTTGTGAGGAACACGTTCAAATGATCTCTCCAATCAGCATGAGAGGAGGCCTATATACATAGCCGACTCACCAATGTTCTTCGACAGTTTTCTGCATCCCTCCACTACCCTGACTCCTCACTTGTGGCTGTTTTCCTATCCCAGCCAGGGATATGGGGGAAGTACACTGGGTTTGGGCCAAAATACCCAGTTCAGAGCCCTCTCTTTGGACAACATGCCAAATACACATAATCTTTACTTTTGAGTGATTGTTTGGAAGTGTTAACTAGTGAACACCATCTAGTGTCCAAGCTGTATGCTTGTATTTGTTTGTTTCTGTGAACATCTTAAAACAACAATACGATTCAGCAAATGATTGGATTGAGAGAAGAAAAAATAAAATTGATGCATGCCGTGAAAGTAAAAATTAAAAGTTAAAAGTGTTTTAGTAGAGAAATGAAACGACAAACTACATGCCCATATGTACCTTTCATTTATGAATAAACTAATCCTTCAAGTGTGTAAATTAATAACGATATCTTGTGCATGTAGTTTGTGTCTGCCTTTCCTTTTTCTGCTCTTTTGCAGTTTTGATCCTCATTCTGGGCCTCTGTCTGATCTGTTACAGAAGACTTCACTCCAACAGGAGTCATCTTAGGTAAATGAACTTCGAGTTACTATAGCTTTTCAGACTTAAGTACTTAATGGACACTGACAACAGTAGCAATTCCACATTAAAAATAAAGAACGACTAATGCACCTGCAATCTCAACCAAATCCTTCCCTCCGGTAATCTTGCTCCATCCCTTACAATGTTACTCTCAGAGAAGTCTGATGGTAGTCCAGATATTCCTGCAAGTCAGCGTGAAAGATGCTCGGGACAGCTGACAGAACTGTTGTCACTTGGGTCACCACAAAACTTTGTCATTTGCGCATCTTTTGAACTCTTGCCAATTTAAACATTCAAGTAACTAGCACAAGACTAGTGACTAGTTGGAGAACTCAATTCGTTACTCATGCAATGTGTGACAATTCAGCTGTGCTGTTTCGAATATTCAACACTATGAATATTGGTGGCCACAACCAAAAAGTGAAATGTTGTAATTGAAGTACCAAACAGCAGTGTATGTGCCAGTTACCCATCTGCTATTTCATATAATTGTATTATAAAGAGACACTGACCACCATTCTGAAATGCATTATGGGAACTGGCTGCAAGCATGCAGAAGTGTGCTGGACTTTGACTATGGCTCTTCACAGTGCAGACTAGAGTAATGTAGGTTTGTAGATTCTATATTAAACTGGATTTCTATTATAATGTGGCTACAGCTAAGTTAAAAACTTTAACAATACATCCAGGATACTCCATGTTTAACAATGGTTTTATCATTTCTTATTACATGATTCCACCAAATTATTATTCAAATGTTATTGTTAATGAATGCGCTTCAGACACCGTGAAGAGGACGGCAATTAATATTCAGCCCAAAAATATTTTGCTGAAATATCTGTTGTTGGACGTTAAATTTAGGTTTAAAAGTCAACATGGTAACTGTAACAGTGTGTATTTGAATATACATTGTCTTACATTCACAGGATTAAGAAATTACATTAATAGGTTCCTGTGTCCAGAGTGAATGTGTTTGTTCCTGCAGAACATTCCTCTTATCTATTAAAACGTGAGTTTTTATTTTCTTTTATTATCTTTACTTTTTTTAAATCGATTTTTTGACATTTGTGAATCGATTCAGGATCGTCCACGTCCGCATCGCGATGCATCGAGAATCGATTTTTTCCCCCACCCCTAGTTTTTACCCTTTACACGGGAACGCAACGGTGGAGCGTTTTAAAGATTTCCACTTTGGAGGGTGGTTTCACTTTTTTTTTTGCGTTTTTAAGCCCCAAAAACGCCGTCGCCATGTAAACGAAAGGCACATCTGATAATTTTTTTTTTTACGTTTTCACCCACGTGCGTTCTCATGTAAACAGGGCCTAAAACAGCCAGCAGGTGCCGGCAAATCACTTCCCAGTTAGCAAACTGACATTGAATCAACGTGGAAATATGACATCGAAACAACGTTGATCTGACATTGTTTTGCTCATCGAATTAACGTTGAACCAACGTCAGACGCGTCATTCTTTCAAAACTAACGGAAAATCAACTTGAAATCAACGCGTTGTTTCAACGTTATGAAAGCAAACCAATTTTCGATTTTCATTTAGCTTTGAAGAATGCCGCGTCTGACGTTGGTTCAACGTTAATTCGATGAGCAAAATCAACGTTGTTTCAATGTCATGAGAGACGTCGTTTCCACGTTGATTCAATGTCAGTTTGCTGTCTGGGTTTCTGTGGCCTCGTTTACACGAGAAAGCTCGGGGGTGAAAACTTAAAAATATTTTATCGGATGTGCCTTTCGTTTACATGGCGACGGCGTTTTTGGGGCTTAAAAACACAAAAAAGTGAAACCACCCTCCAGAGTGAAAATCTTAAAAACGTTCCACCGTCGCGTTCCCGTGTAAAGAGTAAAAACGCAAAAGTCTGCTTGACAGTGAAGGTTGTACGCAGGCACGCGGACTTGGAGTTGTTGTGTCGCAGTGCTCCACATCGCCACCTTGCTTCCTGGAGTGCATACTACATTGAATTTCACACACTTTTGCGTCACCATATGCACGAGGATTTCCCAGCCAAAACGCTCATCTAAACGCAGAATAAAAAGTAATAACGCAACGCCACTTTTGTGTTTTCTCTTCAGAATCGTTTCAGTGTAAACATAGCCTTAGTTTCATATTTATCATAATATTTTATTTTAATTATTTCAAATTACAATATTCAAAATATAAGTTTTAAAACATTAATCTCATAGCATTATTTATGCAATTGTAATTGCAGTGTAAATACATCTACATGCCTCAGATGCAACTTCTGAATTTGGCATAACAGATGATGAATAAGGTTAGAAAAAAATGCCCCTTATTAAATGTACAAATAAAACTGGAAATCAGTTTAATGTGGGAAATACTGCCCCTTAATGAAAAAGTTCATTTCTGTCACTTCTGTGAACTGACCGATGCACAGAAACTTTGGGAGTCATTTGACCACGACAGGCCTAAACCAGCATGATCCATGAATAGGTCACATAAAGACACTCCACGGGATGAAATGTTCGTTTATACAATGTGTGTGTGTGTGTGTGTCATATGTAATGACACTAGCAGTGCGCTGCTGTTTTGAAACTGACATGAACTACAGAAGTAAAGCCAGTGTGTCAATACATGAGACACAACCAATCACAACAGGACAGAATCACTCTCTCGTCCTCTGTTTGCTCAGTGATAGTGAGGAAAGACTGGTTAATGATTAATTTAATATGCTCTACTCAGATCAATCCATACAGAAAAACACACAGATGAAGATTCATTTATCATATAAAGATCCAGCAAGTCACATCTGCTCAGTGCACATTATGATGTTACATCAGTTTTCAGCTTTGACTGCTGATGGCGTGATTTAGCTACAGTGTGTAAATGAGATAGTATTTTTGTACACCTATACGTACAGAAAAAACAATTTATTTTACCATTAACATTCAATTTAAGTCTCAAATAACGTGGTAAATAGCTCTTTCCACGTGCAGACAAACTCAGGAATTAACATTTCTTTCTATTCCGGTCAACGCTATGAACTTCATCAGTCATTGTGAAAGTAGGCTATAATAAAACAAATATATGTTCATATAGTGCTCATTCTCAAATTTAACAACTTCAAACACAACGACAACGCCTTAATTACAACTATTACACGAGAAACATTAAACATCTAAAAGATTCTGAAATATGAAACGCTGTCGACATGAGCTGTGCGTGTCTGTCCATCATCAATGATGTAAAGTTCAGTCTGACTGATTAAACTCATTGTCTACTTACATGTCTGAGCTCTTGCGTGCGGTCCCTCATGTTTCATTCAGTCAGTCTGAACGCGTTTATCGCTCGCAGAGAAGAGCGTCGTTTTTAAGTGCGGCGAGGCGCGCCCCCAAACAACTACAGCGCGCGACGCGTCACGCCACATGTATCCACAATCCAGTCTTTTAATGCTCGATAACAATTACTGAATTAGATCATTATCAAGGACAAATACATAAAATGGAAATTTCAACAACTACACGATTAACACCTTACAACAAATTGAGAAGTAACATTAACATAAAATGAATAAGAATTATTTAAAAAAAAAAAGGTGAAATAAAAACAAGGCATTATGATGTGGTAAATGGCAAAACGACATGACAGGAAAACTGGATTCGTATAATAGCCTAATAACATACAGACATTGATACACTAGCAAAAGCATCTAAATTCATGGATTTTTTATTTCTTCATAACATTTTTGAGAATATATACAGTGAGGAAAATAAGTATTTGAACACCCTGCTATTTTGCAAGTTCTTTGAAATCATGGATGGGCCTGAAATTGTCATCATAGGTGCATGTCCACTGTGAGAGACATAATCTAAAAAAAAAAAAAATAAAAAAAAAATCCAGAAATCACAATGTATGATTTTTTTTAATTATTTGTTTGTATGATTCTTTATAAAATAAAGAGATTTAAGAAGTCAGTTTTAAGGTGGGGATGAGATGGTAGGCTACCATTTGCAAATTTCTTATGAAGAATTTGCCATATAAACGATTAAAGGAAAAATGAGCAATATACTCCAGGGATTTATTTTTTATCATTCTGATTAAAAAAAGTGTTTAAAAATAAAAGAGTGTGTAACATTTACAGAATCAAATACATGAGAACCCCTATGGGTCAGACAAAACTGTTTGGATACAAGGCAACCAAAAAAACAGATCTCCTCCACTTGTTTACAAAAATAACATGAGCTATCAGTGTCCAAATATTTAGAAATATCAGAATTGACACAGTTAAAATTTTTAAATGTATTCCCTTTGACTTGTTGGAAATACAATATTTTCCAGGTAAAAGCCAGGCCATTTTCTAGTCTATATCTGATACCAAGGACCTCCAATAAAATTTTCCTTTTGGAGAAATGTTCCCTTTTAATTGAAGATTTTGGTCAGGACCCATCTGTCATTTGCACAGGGAACCGTCATTTAAAGGCCCCCTGACATGGGGTTATTTTATTATTTTATAATGTTTCCTTGGGTGCCCTTATAATGTTAGTATGTTTTTTAGATCAAAAATAGTAATAATTTACAAATAAAAGTCATTTTTCCAAGCCTGACTTTAGCCTCTGATTTGAACACTCTGTTTGAAGGGGCGTGTCTGCTGTGTGTAACCGCCCACTGCTGCGATTGGCTGACAGGCTTGCATATGAAATAGCTATGTATTACATGTGAAACTCTCTCTTACTAAAGCTATTTATACATTTTTACTATTACAGATATCGAGATTTCTGAATCGTGAGAAGTTTTTGAAGTATTTAGATTCCCATCACATAAAATGTTGCTGTGATGAGCATTGAGCAAGCAGAGGACAGTCTGTCGATCACAAGAATGAAGATCTTATTGCAACGCAGTTTCTGCTCTCTCTAATGCTTTCACCAATGCAGACACAATCATGTAAATACAGTAAGAGCTTCGTTGTGCAGTGTAACGTGCGTCATTGATTTCATAACGAGTTGTCCGGATAAACTCAGGCTGTGTGGAAAGATTGTTCTTTGATCGCTTTCTGTATAATTTGTTCAGAATTTAAATAAGATTACTATTACTACTACTAAAAGAAACAATGTGAAGTTTATATTTTAGTCACTGGCTTGACTTACTGATGCGTAAACAGTACTGAACGATATTGAGAGAAAGATTAACTTACCTGTTTGGGAGTTGAGTCGGCGCATTTCCAGAGAAAATAACGTTAACCCATTGTTTCTTCAGAGGTGTGGATGAAGGAACTAAAAATATACTTTTGTGTTCATTTGTACATCCGAACACTGAGCAACTGCCATGCTTCGCTCGTTTGCAAGCCATGATATCTCTCGAGGAAAAACTCAAATCGCAAAGCTATTTCTCTAGGAAAAAATAAAATCGCGCCTGTGTGTTCATACTTCCTAGCTCGTTTTCTCATGGGCGAGCCAAATTCTCTGGGCGGGCAAAGCAGAGAAAGGGGAGTAACCTTTCCCCTGAATGAGAGAAGAGAAAAATAGCCAAAGCTCGGTTTACACCGATTGAAAATTCTAGACACGGGGGGACTAAATACAGTCTCGGGGAACTCCTATTAATATTAAAAAAACCTCAGAAAATGAAAATTTCATTTAACATGCAGGGTTCTCCATTTCTTTCAGTTGTTTGCCTTATGCATCAAATAACTGACGCCGAGGAGACCAAGCAAGCGTCAATTTGTAACTGTCAGGAAGTTCAATGAAGGCCAGTTGTACTGGACCCAGGTGCAGTTGAATCACAAACTTGATCAGATACAAAATAAACAAAGACTTGGCTTGACATTACAACATAAACCTGGACTAACATGAGCATAAACCTTGACATAAACCTGGACATAAACCTTAAAGGGTTAGTTCACCCAAAAATGAAAATTCTGTCAGTATTTACTCACCCTCATGTTGTTCCAACCCCGTAAGACCTTCGTTCATCTTCGCAACACAAATTAAGATATTTAAGATATTAAGATCGCTCCTGCATACTAGTCCATAGGCTTCTTGAGGGACTGGCTCTTGCTGTCCTCGAAAAGTCATTAAAGACATCGTTAAAATAGTCCAAGTGACTACAGGGGCTCAATCTTAACTTTATCAAACGACGAGAACACTTTTGTGCGCAAAAAAACAACAAAAATAACCACTTTATTTCAACTATTCACTTCCTTCTCCATGGGCCTGTAGTCAGTTAACGTAGTGTGATTGTGTAGAGCTACGTCACACGTAGGCTCACTATTGGCCGACGCTGGTCATGTGTGTGATGCGTGTGACGTACAATAACAGAAGCTTACGCTATTAAACTAGTAACCTGACTCGCGCAGAGGGAGAAATAAACGAATAGTTGAAATAAAGTCGTTATTTTTGTTGTTTATTTGCGCACAAAAGTGTTCTCGTCGTTTGATAAACTTAAGATTGAGCCCCTGTAGTCACTTGGACTATTTTAACGATGTCTTTAATGACTTTTCGGGGACAGCAAGTGTCATTCCCTCAAGAAGCCTATGGACTGTATGCAGGAGTGATCTTAATATCTTAAATATCTTAATTTGTGTTCCGAAGATGAACGAAGTTCTTACGGGGTTGAACAACATGAGGGTGAGTAAATACTGACAGAATTTTCATTTTTGGGTGAACTAACCCTTTAACATAATTTTGGACATAAATTTGGACATAAACCCTGGACATAAACCCTGGTCTGGACATATACCTAGACATAAACCTGGACATAAACCTGGACTAGGCAGTTGCAAAAACTTGCGTCTAATAAAAATAAAAAATAAAAAAAAACGATTAGATTTTGGGGAAAAATAAAATTTTTAAACTTTTGGCTTCCCGTACATTCAGTTGTGCTTCTTGCTCGTATTCAAATCTGATGGTATGTATGGTAACTGGCCAACTACGCATTATTTGTAGTATGATAAAGGGAAATAAAGCATAAAAGGAACAGGAAATCCAGTAGGGAACAGAATTGACTGCTACACCGGTCGCGTGCAGCGCTGCAGCCACGTATACAGAGTTTACCTGGACATAACGGATGATAGTTGGCATTTACGTGTTCCGTCACCCCAGACGAATGCCTGAGCACATAGGTATCACTAGGCCCTTTATAGGGGGGCTTCAGCCCAGCCCCCTAAAAGAAATTGTGATTAACTCCGTAAACAGCAGCAGCTTGCTGTACATGTCAAAAAGTGCCTTGATACCATGACTTCCTCTGTCTGTAAATCAGTGTTGTAGTGGTGTGCTAGTTCTGCTAAATGTGGCTCAGACAGATACTGGACTACATGTGTGTTTGTACAGGAAACGTGTGTGTGTGTGTGTTTGTGCAGTGAAGAATGAATCAGGTAGTCTTGTATATGGCTCAGTCAGTACACCTACTCCCATATATGAAATACAGGGAATACAATGGAAGAGTGTTTTGTATTGTATTGACTGGACTCCACACACAGACTGCCATTCTCAAGAGTGCTTTATTGCTCAACATCCTTTTACATGCAACATAAAGCAACACCGCTAAACGGCGTCCTCTATTGGTTAACTGTTACAATAGTCAGAATCAGTACAGTGGATTGCATTATGGTTAGTAGTATATAACCCTACCCTAATACTCAAACAATATTTTTTTAATCATACGCTCATTGGGGTAAAATGAAAACCCTAGAATCGCCTCTGCCTGCGCGGCCAACTTGACTCAAAATGATTCATGTTTTTAGCCTGCTCTAGCTGGCATCAGTCTAACAGCGCTCTTCAATATCAGAATAACTAGTGGCGGTTGAGGAGATTTCCCACTTCCATGTGTAATGTGATTTGAGTACCCAGAAAAGCACTGTATAAATGTAAGGAAATTATTATTAAGATAGTGACTTGTTGATAAAGACCATTGACTAATACTGATTATGGTTTTAATGATGATTAGAATATTAACCCTCAATACTAACCGTCAGAAGTCAAATCGTGGTTTAGTTAAACTGGTAACCATTTCACCCCTAACCCTCAAACTAGAGTGAAGTTGTCACAACTCCCAGGTTGGGAAACGCTGACTTAGAAGACTTAGGTCTGGACGGAACCAATGGAGACTTTAGACCAGCAAGTATTTCCTCTTCTAGATACTAATTTAATTCTTCAACAAATCATCAAACCAGCACCTCAGCGCTAGGAGTGTGTGAGGAGCTCCAATCCATTCAAATTAACGAACGGCTGATATGCCCTGGACGACAGACGCTGATGCCGGCTCACACACCAGGACCGGCTCCACAGTGGGCTCGGGATCCAGGATGAACATGGCCTCTGCCAATCGCTCTAGCTGTGTTCATGTCGAGTCGACGGTGGGGTTTTACGATACAGCTCTTCTGGGGTTTGGGGACGTCTCCCAGTACCAGCAGAAAAACCACCTAGTCCGGACACGGCATTGTCTGTGACATGGTGAAGCTCACCGGAGACAGCAACAAGATCGTCAGTTGGGACTGGGTTTGGCCGGTCTGTAACATAAGATGGGGCAAAGGCCTCTTCTGGAAAAACACCCCTGTTATAGGGGAGAATTCCAGTCACCTTGAATCCTGATTGGATGCGATTTGGGGTTGAAGCCAATGGGTATGCTGTGGCAACAATTCCAGGCATATGGTTGTTCAGCATCCTTGAATCACAGCCTGTGTTAACATGCCTCTTCTGAGGCCCATACACAGTGTGGTCAAAGGGCTGTAGCCGATGGGAGCAGTGTTGGGGGAATGATAGCATGACTGTTTACACTGATACATACACTGTTTTCTTTGGCATAGTTCAAGCCATTGAGAGATCGGACTCATGGTTGTCAAGCAAAACGAGACATGGCTTCTCTTTTGAGCATTCTGTTCTCTCCACAAAATGCTTCAGGAAATCAACAAAGTGTTCTTCCTTCATCCATCCTGACGGGTTTGCTCCTCCTTTGCAACCTGTAGGTCCATTCAGAATGAAGTGGTCCCTGAAATTTACTCTGGGGAAGATGTAATAAGGACGACTGCTGTTCCCTTTGGCTGAAACGGCGCAAGCAAGGGTAATGAGCATCCCTCGTTCTGCAGAGGTTATTGACCCCTGGTTATTTGCTTAAATCCCCGCCTGGCAATGACCCTGTTGGGTTTCTGGACTGTAGTGACACCTGTCTCATCCATGTTCCAGATATCACCTGGAGGAAACCGGTGCCTATGCATGACTGTATCTAGGTTGTTGAAGAAGGCTTTAATGTTTTCTTTATTAAAACTCGTAGCACGAGCAAGGCTTGTGGCTTCCTGACGGAAAGGGAAGGATGCTGTTAGATTTTGGTGTTGCCGATGTTGGCTCGCCAATGTATTGGATTTCTCCAATACATAAAATAAGTAAACTTGACCAGTTCTTGTGGGGAGAAGAATTTATCGAAGCAGTCCTTCAGCAGCGGTGTTAGCATGTGCCCTTCAACAATCTTATCCCAAAGTTCTGTCTGTGAGAAATATCAAAATCTATCATTTCCTATTGTCAATTTCCTATCAAAATATAGCTGATCCTAACTGACATCCTTACATTTTATATAACTCTATCTATTCTAAAATGTATTTAGTGGGGAGAACGTTTTTTTGTTTTAACACAGTTAAATAAGTTATCCTCACCTCAAAAGTTTGATGACTTTAGTAAATGGGTGTGTTCAGGTCAAGAGGGCAGTCATTTTAATGTCATATTTTTGTGATAGCGCCCTCTACTGTACTGGAATTGAACTGTGTGCCAACCAACCCTTGACCCAACCAGCCCCACTCTCCCTACAGAAGTAATCAATGAATTATCAGGGAGGGTCATGCCTTTTTTCACAATCATTTTGGAGGGTCATAGAAAAAATATTGCTGGCGATAATACAAGTCTTTTTTTATTACAGATCTCAAAAACTTTTTTCGTGTACCCCCTGAAATCAGCCCACGTACCACAGTTTGACAACCGTGGGAGTAGACTATTCACCATGTGCCATCATGCAACCAGGGGCAGTTCTAGGACCTTTTTAGCTGTGTTTCAGCCCTGTCTCATTAAAACCAAAGATGTTCATTAGTGATTGTATATCAAGAGCAGGGACACGTTTGTGAGCATTTTGTTTCGATTAGTCTCTGCAACAGTGTTAAGGTGTGCAAGTAAAGACTGCATAACAGCGGCAACAAACAGCTGATTTAAAAGAGAAAAACACATTCCTGATAGCCTCTTGTTCAACAAACAAACAAAATGAATATTCAGGTAGTCAACTGGTGATGTTTCATTAGTATTTAAGTATACAAGATGCTTCAATAAGTGGTAGGGACAATATCGGCAAAAAATGTCCCATGCACCTGCAAATTACACATGATCGCGAGAAAACCTTGAGCCTTGAGTAAGTGCACGTTGATGTCTCTGAAATTGCCATCATAAATGTACCAATTCCCAAGATGGAGGGGTGTACCAGAGGAGAACCTGACAAAAATGGAAGAAGACAAGAAATGTCACTTGCCGGATGCGCACGAGGTTTACTGTTGCAGTTTTGTGGTGAAAGGGTTTCACCAATAAGTGGACAAACACACAACTCAACCAGTAGGCTAATGTCCGATTTGCGACTCACAAATTGATTCGCAAAGTCCCTTCCTGCTTCAAACGCTCCACCATCATCCCCATTCTAAAGAAACAAATCACAGGACTAAATGACTTCAGACCAGCTCCCTTACTCCTGTGGTTGTGAATTCATTCGAGGGACTGGTGCTGGCCCGCCTGAGGGACATCCCTGGACCCCTCATCGAGCAAACATGCAACAGCTCGACCGGCGTGGGACTTACAGCATCCATCATGCCAGATATCCTCCTGACTAAAGGGCAAAATTTATACTTCTGCGACGAGAGTACGCCGTAGTGAACATTTATACTTCTGCGTTCAGGTCTTGGTTGCTCTGCAGTACTGCTCCGAAACGCTAGTTGGCGGCGGAGGGTTTTAATGTTCCACTGTATTTAGATTACTCTCGACTAGGTTACTACAAGCAATGACGACTGAAAGAGAGCGGATCATGTTGGAGTTGGAGCTTATTGAGGTGGAAAAACAGTTGATTTTAGTGAAATAACCAAAACTAAAAGGCAGAAACGAGAGAAGGCGTCGGAGGAGAATGTACGTGCGGAAACGCGTAGGAGGAAATGCGATGCTACCAAGCCGACCAATCACAGATCTTGCGGTCCGCATCGTCGCGACATGTAGCTACATTTTTAAGGAGGTGCGCGTCAGGCTACGGCGAAGGGTACGCGGTATAACATGGGTCTGTGCATATTAGGGGTTTCACAACTACTGATTTTTGCTAGTCGACTAGTTTTGCATAACAGTCGACGACTAGTCGACTAGTCGTTAAATGGTTTATTCTAGGGGTGTGCGACATCAAGAATAGTAAATGTCTCCACGATCTGCTTTTGAAGAAATATGGTAGTAGTATCGTGTTACAGTGCATTCTATCAGTTCAGTTCTGGTGCCTCTGTCTCAACTGTACAACGCGACGTAGCCTACACATCACACGTTAAGGAATAGGTACAGGACACTGCAATTCACAAAAGTTCATTGTTTGCATAAGCCTTGCCGGTTAAACATTTAATTCACGCGCTGTTCTAACGTGCGCTTTCCTGAGTGCGCGGCACATCCCCGACGCTCACAGGCATTAGACGCCTGTCAAACAGCGCCTGAATAATGGACTAAGTTATCTTATTATGCTAATACTGTTAAATAAACAGAACTGGCTATGTCTAAAGTGAAAGCAAACATTTGAGAGAAAATCTAGTGTAGGCTAATATGCGTCTATATTAAACACGTCGCGTGCTGGTCTAAAAGCGAGAGCAGTACTCGTATTTTCCGCACTATAAAGCGCACTTAAAAGCCTTTAATTTTCTCAAGCCTTATAATCCGGAGCGCATTATATATGGATCAATTGCTCGTGCTCGTGCCAATGCCCGCTTTGTCACACGGCCAGTTCAACCTCGTAGGTTATGTGTCTCCCGCTCACGAGCGCTCTCTCTAACACACACACGAACAGACACTGCTGTCAGCAGGCTGAGAATGTAAGTTACGTGCCCGCCCCAGCGCGCTCACGCTTACTAAATAAACGCCTCACCTCCGACGCCGCGCACTCGCTGCATTCCCTTTAGCACATCTAGTGGATGCATAACGCAAACCCAGTCAAACGTTTGAAAAATGTTCTAAAATAGGTCATTGAAGGTGCGCCTTATAGTGTATATAGTACTGCCGCTTGTATTTAAAGGGATAGTTAACAAAAAATATATATGTCATCATTTTGTTTCCGACTAGTCGACTAAGGCCAACAGCGCCAACTAGTGGTTGTGACAGTCGACTAGTTGATGAAACCCCTAGTGCGTATGCTACGCTGTACCTACTGCGCGCACCCTACGCAGAAGTATAAATTGGCCTTAAACTAACCCAGCTCTCTGTTCCTGCTACAATAACACGTCAAACTGTTGCAGTTTTATGGTGAATGGGTCTCACCAAAGATGCATGTTTCATAGCACGTGTTTTAAAAACTTATATAAGTAACATAAGTGGACAAACACACAACACAACCAGTAGGCTAATGTCCGATTTGCGAATCAATTAGCCCCAAAATGATTTGCGAAGTCCCATCCTGCTTCAAACGTGCCACCATCAACCCCATCCTAAAGAAACAACAAATCACAGGACTAAATGACTTCAGACCAGCTCCCTTACTCCTGTGGCAGTGAAGTCATTCGAGGGACTGGTGTTGGCCCGTCTGAGGGACATCTCTGGTTCCCTCATCGAGCAAATATGGGACTGGACTCATCCTGCAACAGCTCGACTGGCGTGGGACTTACAGCATCCATCACGCAAGACATCCTCCTGACTAAACTAACCCAGCTCTCTGTTCCTGCTACAATATCATGTCAACATCTTATAAACGAGGTCCCACATGTACAAAGCTCATCAAATCAGTGACAGTGCTTGTTAGTGACCTGTGAGCTGTTTATGATAAGTATTTGCTGGAGATAATGCACAGCTCCAGGTTCATGCTCAATGCACATCTATGAAGGAATCGACAACTGACAAGATGAAATCTGGTTTATTAAAGCTTCTGTAAATGCAGACATCTAATCCACATAGTGATCTTATGAGACAAGGAGTCCATGAATTGATGAGTCTCCACATTGCGATATGTTTCCTGAAAGCACATAGTTCTGGTTTCCTCTGATTGGTCAGAGTGTGTGAGAGGACCATATGAAGCCGTTAAGGTCAGAAGTGAGGTCTCCTGTGACGCCCGGTGTATTTGGTGTCGGCTCTTACGTCCCTGAGAGAGGAAGAACACAACACTCAGCACAGCTGAACATCCAACTAAAGCCAAGTTCACACTACTTGATTTTAAGCCAGATTTGCAAATCGTTGAGCTCACGACAGATCAGGGTGTTATCGCGTGCAAATCGCGGGCGATGAACGCTTGCCAATCTGTTAGTATGAAAGAGCCAACAACGCATCAAAGACGATCGCAGAGCCCAGAAAAATATCTAGCCTGCTAGATATCCAGAGCCGTCGCGTGACTCAACCTCAGTGATGTCATGAGCTATAGCCAATCAGAGCAAGGCATGGGTTGAGGTCACCGAATAAATCTTATTTTTTTCTTTTTTTTGCATTTTTTTTTCCTCAGAGCAGATCGTCGCGCAAACAGTGTTCAGCACTAGTTTCTGTCTGACGTCCATATTCGCGTGTCGTGTTCTTCGTCTTGCTGTTTCGCGTCATTTCCGGTTCGTCTTATCGCGCGATTTTCCGTGACAAAACGTGGTTTGTAGACAAGATAGAATTGTTGGGTGACAGAGTTGTTGTCCACTCGTGTAGAGCGTTACCTCCTGTTGTGGATCAATCACGTTGTGTCGTGTGTGTGAACAACTTAAACACTCCTGATTTCACTGAGAGCAGGTCATGTAGTGTGAACTTAGCTTAACCAGACGAGCAACTAAATCAATCAGCACTTTCTAAAGACTCATTCTCATTTAGTGCCGCCATTTGTGTCTCAGTCTTTCATTAAAGGGATAGTTCGGCCAAAAATGATATTCAACCCATGCATTACTCACCCTCAAGCCGTTCGAGATGCACATGTCAATCATGTTTCAGACGAACACATTTTCAGTTATTTTAGAAAATGTCTTCGACACTTCAGTGGATATAATGTGAAGCAATGGGGACCAGCTCCTTCAAGTCCCAAAAATGTGCGTACATCCTTCACAAAAGTAATCCATCCGGCTCCAGTGGGATAAACGAAGGCCTTCTGAGGGTAATCGGTGCGGTATTGTCGTAAAAAATATACATATTTAAAACTTTATAAATGAAAATATCTGACTTCCGGCAACGATCGACTTTTGTGAAGCTACAACCTAATTTGTGAAGGATGTACGCACATTTTTGGGACTTGAAGGAGCTGGTCCCCATTGCTTCACATTATATCCACTGAAGTGTCGAAGACATTTTCTAAAATAACTGAAAATGTGTTCGTCTGAAACAAGATTGACATGTGCATCTCGAACGGCTTGAGTGCGAGTAAAGCCTAGTTCACACTACATGATTTTAAAATGTCGGGCTGAACTGTGCAGTTTACACTACATGACTTGCTCTCAGTGAAATCATGAGTGTTCAAGTTGTCTAGCTGTTCACACCACACAACACAGCGTGATTGATCCACAACAGGAGGTAACTCACTACACGAGTTAACAACGCACTACATAGAGATACAACCACGATCGGATGATAAGAGCATATCATTTGTGACTCAATGAGAGCTGTTTCAGTACTATAGTACGGTCTAAATCCTGAAAATAATCAAACAAATAACGAGTTGACAACAACACGATTCTATCTGGTCTAGAAACCATGTTTTGTCACGAAAAACCACGCAATAAAACGAACCAGAAATGACGCGAAACTGCAGAGAAGAACACAACACGCGAATATGGACGTCAGACAGAAACTAGTGCTGCACACTGTTTGCTCGACGATCTGCTCGGAGAAAAAAAAAATGCAAAAAAGAAAAAGTAAGATTTACCTGGTGTCCTCAACCCATGCGTTGCTTTGATTGGCTGTACTCATGACATCACTGAGATTGAGTCGCGCGACTGCTCGAGATATCTAGCATGCTAGATATTTTTCTGAGCTCGGTGACCTGTCTGCGAGGTGTCTGCGAGCTGTCTTTGATGCGTTGTTGGCTCTTTCACACTATCGGATTGGCGAGCGTTAATCGTCCGCTAATCGCCCGCGATTTGCACGCGATAACACCCTGACTTGTCGGCGACTCAACGATTTGCAAATCGGGCTTAAATCGGGCTTAAAATCACGTAGTGTGAACTAGGCTTAATGCATGGGTTAACCCCTTAGCTGTCACCCCCCCTTTTGAGAATGGGGGTTAAAATGCACTATTCAAACTTAAATGGTTGTAATTTAAGAATGCTTTGGAATATATACCCAAGTTTGGTCTTGTTTTAAAGAAAACACTCAGCAGAATATTGCTGAAGTGAAAACACTTCAAAAAATGAAAGTATGAAAAAGTTATGGAAGTTTAAATTTACAGTAAATCAAATATACTGTACTATATATTTTTTATTTTATATAAAATATATATTTTACAAAATATTTTTTACTCTAAAATTTCTATAAAATCAAAGCCATAAATCTCATCAAGTTATGTTCCAAATTTGAAGTTGATATCACAAAAATTGAAGTTCCCATGAGATTTTGTTTAGGCGTAGTACCAAAAATAGCCACCGGGTGCCATTGAATTATATTGAATTTAGTTGTGTACATTCTGCCTTAACAAATGAATACATTTCTGTCCAAATATCAATTCTGTCACAAAATTTGGAACCTTGAGACTCTGACCTTTCTGACAATATCAATTTTGTCAAGATTAGAAAAGGTTTTGATCATAAATTATGAAATATAATGACGCCCAAAAGGGGAGGAGCCTGATAAAACAAGTACCGTTTCTATGGTAACGCAACGTTCAATTATAAAACAGTTTTCACACGATGAATTCTGAGTTTATAAGCTTTCAAATGATACCTAATTTATGATAACTACTAAAATAGGTGATATAATAAAAAAGGCGATAAAATTTATATTATATTTTAGAGGATAATAAATATAAATATTATCATTTTTAGAGGATAATATTGTACTATAAGTTTTTATTTTTTATTGAAAAATACTAGATTATATGTTTTTTTATGAACTTTTAGCATAAAAACAGAAGTTTCAATGATTTAAAAGTGGGTGCATCGACTTTTTGTGACAAAGGTCAAAACTCCTGTTATGATGCAGATTTTTTTTAGGTGCACTCTTGTCATAAATTCATCAATTACTCTTCCTACATAATTTTTAACACAAAACAGGGGTAGAATATCTATTTAGAAGTCTTAGACCTTTCCAACAATATATAATTTGTCATAATTAGATTAGGATTTAATAGAAATATAGTGAAGTAAAGTTAGGTGTCCCCTGACAGTGACAGTTAAGGGGTTAAATATCATTTGTGGCCGAACTATCCCTTTAAAGACTTGACAGGCACTGAAGATGAGAGTTGATAAATAAGGGTTTTTATCATATTTAACACAACAAGAGCTGAAACACACCTCCCCTGCCGGCGCCGTCTCTCCTTCTTCTCCACGATCCAGTCCTTGCTCTTCTTCACTGACTTTCCTTTCATATTTCTGAACCGGGACCTTTCACGGGAAGAGCAGTACAGTGAGTGTGTGCTGGAGGACTGAGTGAAACTGTGTTTACACGCATGGGAACTGGGATTTAAAGCTCTAATGAAAATGTGTGATGCAAAACACACAATATTTGTGGCTCGGCTGTCGCTCCAGAAATCAAGCGTATTGTTCAGAGGCCACTGCTCTTTCATACTGATTAAAATTAAAGATTATAGTATAACTAATATATCTTTCTGCTTTAATAGTGCAGTATCCGATCAGTTTGGGGCCGATACCCAGTATCGGATTCAGGAACATTTTTGGATGGAAGAAAAAAACGATAAATTGATGAAAAAATTATAATTACGATAATACGATCACACACATTATGTATTTCATAATTAGTAATTTCATTATAATTGTAAGTTTGAGATAGTTTTGCATCATGTTACAGAAGGAAAGCGTTTGAGAACCTCTGATGCGAGTGAAATCATCGTGTATATTCAGAGATGTGTGTTTTACCTCTGTGCTGTAAACTGAGCCTGACTCGACACACCTCTGTCAGTCGCCTCTGACTCTAAACCCTGGAAAACACAGACAAGCTCATAAACACCCTCTGTGTGTGTGTGTGTGTGTGTGTTCATACTGAGGCTGTACACACCTTGGGTAAAACTCCTGATACACCAGCAAATAAACACAGGAAAAATCTAAGGACAAAAAGATTTGCAGCGTCACTCAATATGAACACTAAACCCGATAAATCTGTCTTCTGATCAATGATGATGGGAATATCGAGCTGAAAAGGTACTTTTTGGCTTTGCTGCTGTTGGGATAGTCCACGACCAAACCGCCTGTGAAACCGGCTTTCATGGCCTGAGCTGTTATCAGCTCCAGCTGAGAGCAAAAACACACAACACTATTACAAATACAAATCATAACAAATCAATATTTCCATTACGTTTTTTTTTTCCAAAGAAGAAAAAAAGAAGGGGTGAAAGAAAAGATAGCAGACTAGAATAAGAGTTAAGGCTTTTTTTGAAGTCCCCCTGTGGTGAAAATCCAGCTTTTAATGTTGTTTATGTGTGTTGTTAATACGTGTAAATTCCTATTTGGGTGATTCTTTAACTATTCTTGTCCCTGGATGAAATAATAAAATTTAAAAAAACATTTCTTCTTTTTTGTTTTTGTCAGACTTACTTCACCCTAAGGGGAACTTATAAAAAATGTATCATGGCTCAATCATTCTTTTTATTATATAATATGAGGCCTTTTATGCATGATTTTTACTGTTTTCCCCCGGTCCCTAAGCCAAAATTACAACTATATGTAATTTTTAGGGCTGTGCAAAAATTAATTGCGATTAATCGCATCCAAAATAAAAGTCTGTGTTTACATAATATATTTGTGTGTGCTGTATATAATTATTTTGTATATATAAATTACACACACATGCATGTATATATTTAAGAAACTGTGTTATTCATATATGAAATATTTATATTTATATAATATGGATTATGTATTTATTAATATATACAGAATTTAAGCGCAATTCATTCTTAAATATATACATGCATGCATAGGTATTTATATATACAAAATAATTATATACAGCACACACAAATATATTATGTAAACACAGACTTTTATTTTGGATGCGATTAATCGCAATTAACTTTTGCACAGCCCTAGTAATTTTATAAAAAAACTTTTTTCCAAATTTGTTTAAACTTTCTATATATCAATGCATAATTAAAATGTAAGTACTCTGATAAAAAAATAAAAAAAGAGTATAAAAATCGAGTGACTCTGCACTAAACGCAGCTCATTAGCTTTAAGAAACACCATGTGTAAATTCATATTTTCAGTATTTCCTCCTTAAAACTGCAGTGAACCAAAGACAGTCTCAAAAACACGGTGTTTCTGACGTCACAAACGACCTTGTAACCAATCAGATCAACGTGTGATCGTCAACCAGTGGATCTCTCTGAGTGAGTGAGTGGAGGCGAGGCTCATTAGCATATTCATAGAGCCACGTATACTAAATGAGGCAAGGGTGTCGAGTTACACAACATTTTTATCAAGGAAAAAACAGTGTAATTTTGGTGATCGGAGGTGAGTTTAAGGGATAAAATCACTACAGGGGGACTTTTAACGGTTTTCCTAAACTCAAGCAAGCGGTGCAACAGTCCAGATCTGCAGTTAGGCCGTGTGCCCACCAAAGCGTTTTTCCACGCGCCTGGCGTATGTTTTCAATTGTTTTCAATGGGAACGCCGCGTTTTTAAACACCATGAGCGTAACAAGGCGCTGAGCGTTTTTTTCACACTGAAGCGCCCGTCGCTGAGAGTTGAAAAATGTTCAACTTTGGATAAAACGCAGCGCTCATCACTGTCACTTTTTACCCAGCCGTCCAATCACAGTGGAGGAGGGGCGGGACTAATACCACACCGACCAACTGTCACAACATTCAAACTGCTGCGGATATTCTGTATCATAGCAACGAAACGTCTCAACGGAAAAAAACGCTCTCAAGCGCTCAAAGCACGGCGTCTTCAGCAGAGCGGCTAACGTTTTCAGCGGGCTAAAAAACGCTTTGGTGGACACACGGCCTTATTGATAGTAAATCCAGCAGGCTTTGTACAAAGAGAGAAAGTAGGAATAATATCATGAGCGCTGAGATCCCGACCTGCTCCGAGTTCTCAGGGTAAATCTGGAAGACGGCGCGCGCTCCTCTCACCTACAACAACATCATCATCATCATCATCATCATCATCATCTGTCTGTGAGTTCCTGCCGTGTGAAAGTGATGATTAAACTCACCAGTGTGGAGTACAGCGAGCTGAAGAAGCGGTACAGTCTCTTCGGGGGACTGTGTGTTTTCTTATCCGCGTTACACAGCCACTGCAGCGCTGAAATACTGACGCAACAACACAGACCATGTGACTAGTGTTGTCACGGTACCAAAATTTCAGTATTCGGTACCAATACCAGTTAAAATTCACGGTTCTCGGTACCAATTTCGGTACCAAAGCTTAGTTTAAATTTACATATATTTAAGTGTTTATCACGGTTACAAGTATGGAAACTGTACATTTGTATTATAAACACTTTAGAAAAAGATTAGATAAAATGACCTAAAATAAACAATAGTATCCACTAACACATTTTTAAAGTTGTTTGTAAAGTTTTAATCCATTATTTATTTAATGCACAATTAATTAAGTGAACAAACATGAACAATCAGGTGTTTGTAATAAATAACATTTTGTAAAAATATATTGTTCACTCAATGTGTTGATAACTAAGTAATGTTGATGAATGGTATCTTTGTAGCATTACCATAAAACATGTTTTATTTGACTTGACTGTCCTTTTATTTAATCTAAAACTGCATTCATATTTAATTTTAAAAAGGCTTTTTAAACCTGCTGAGTTATAAAGGCAAGAATACGCCTAGAACTGGCACTGACATTAAATGACAATACTAATACCAGTAGTACTCTGGTGTCGGGTGGATACTACTGTGCTCATGTACTCGTAAAACTACCCCGAAAGCACTTTAGAGGCCGTTCACATGTCGCGCGTGTTTTTTAATTATATTTTTGCGCGTGCTTATTCTTTCCAAAGCGCTTGCTCTCACGCGGCGTCTGTCGTTGCTATGCAACGCCAACGAGTTTTTATTATGAGCGCGCTTGAATCGCGCCTATATTTGAAATTGCGAATTTGCATGTAATCGGCCTCTTATGGCAACGTGACATTAGCCTTAGGGCTGCAACTAACGATTATTTTGATAATCGATTAATCGGACGATTATTTTTTCGATTAATCGATTAATCGGATAAAAAATTATATTTCATTTTTTGTTTATTATAACAAAATAAAACCCTAAAAACCACACTCTTTTGTGTGTTAAATAATCTACTTAATACAGATAACTTCATTATAAAGAAAAACAAGAAATAAAAAAAATATATGACCATAACCTATGACAAAAATGCTATTGTAAACTAGATTAGTGGATAACTCAGCAAAACTTAGCCTAGAAATATCACAAGTGCACAATAATTTTATAAAATCTAAACATTTAGTGAAAAAAACATTCCTTAGTGGGGAAAAAATAAGAGACAATAAGTGTAGCACTAACTCTGGTAAAACGTTACACATTGCTCTTTGTATGGTTGTTATACATTCATGAAAAACATCGTAAAAATCAGATGCACAGCTGTTTTAAATGTAAAGCACAGCTGTTTAGTGAGGAAGCAAAATATAATAGATAGGACAGAACAAGAAAGGCTATTAATAAGCTTTCATTGCGCAAAAGTATTATGACATGATCATGAAAGAGCTGCACAGAGTGCAAATGCGCATCGCGAGCGCTGAATGATGCGCTTGAAGCAACACGGAGTCACAGGGCGGCGCACAGCTCTTCAGTGTCCGCCGCATTAAAGTTAAAAGCACCAAGGAAAGAGAAAGACATATTGACGGTGTATTATACAGTATCTATGCAATAGTTTATTAAGCCTTTTCTTTTAACAGTTTTAAATTTCAGTTAGGCTACTGTGCACGTGAAGAACAATTATACTGCGCCGACTCTACTATAGTGTTGTGATCTAACAGACACTCAGTAGAAAGTGATTAAGTTTCAGCAATAAAAGTCTAGCAAGATAGAAAAACCATCAGACCTTTATCTACGGATCAATTATAATAACATTGAATCATCTTGGAAAGAGATCATCATGTTAACTGTTGTAACGCGACGCGCTGTTTGAACACCGAATAGAGAATGACTGACAGCCGCAGTGGAGGGAAAAGCTTAGGTTAACTTGAATTTAATGACTTAAATATACATTTCTATCTCACATTATACTATAGTATGGCTTCATAAAGTATACACGATTAACGTAGGTCACCTATTTTGGTTTCAAAACGGCGAATTTACCGAAAGGTGAATGATTTTCGTGTGCTGCATATTGATAGCGGTTTCCTGATGACCGCAAATTAGTTCAAACTCACTGAATCAAGAGTGCGCATGCGAGACAGAAGATAATGTGCTCCAAACTGTCCGTGTTGCGCGCGCGAGACAGGGTAGAGCGGCGAGGGAGAGAGACTGCATGTGCGCCTCATGAAGCGCATGTAAGAAGCGCATGTTCCATGTAAACAATCCCTGTGACGTAATCAGACCAACTAATCGATAATGACATTCGTTGACAACGATTTTCATAATCGATTATAATCGATTTTATCGATTAGTTGTTGCAGCCCTAATTAGCCTAATCCAAAATATTTCCATATGTGGCTCTTTCCTCCTTTCGTTTCAACAAGTGGATTCAGAGAGAGAGAGAGCCATATCAGCGTTATGAAGAGGACGCAACTGTGCACGTTTCAGACATCGCGTCTAGAACAGAACTGGATTAACCTGGTACTCGGTACCTAGAAAAGCTGGTACCGTAACATTTTTATTTTTTAGTACCGACTTGGTACCGAAGTACCGAGTTTTTTGACAACACTACATGTGACTCCACACAAGCTGCTCACACACAGCTGATAAGTCACACACCTCATCCATTACATCTCATAGCTCACACACACCTCTCCACGAACTCATACCTCACACAGCCGTCGAACGTGCCCGGTCTGAAGGGCATCCCCTGACCCATGTCTGCCAGCACCAGATCTCCCTCCACCTCCCGCCGCAGCGCCACGTCTGCACACACACAATATATATATCATATCATATCGATCTGATGCTATAATCAGAAAGTGTGTGTGTGTGTGTGTTGTAGCACCTCTACATATTAATATATAATTAATGTCAGTAAAGTGAAAAGAACTAAAGGTCGTCAAGTCTTTATCTCTTGACTGATAAAACGATGATCTTATATGAACTCCATTTCCCATAATGCTGTGCTGTGTCAGTGGCTGACCCTGTTAAGCCAATTCTCCAAAGCTCAGAGAAAAACGAGGATAAGCGGGAATGTTTTTACTGTCTCCACCCAGGGCATCTCTTTTCAAATTGCAAAGCCTGGAAACAGAATAACTCCAAGTCTAAGAGCGTAGCGTTGGTCAATGTCACTCCTGAGAGTTAGCGCCATTAGCTTACAATCTGGCCCGAATACTCTCAGTCCATTTGTAATGAGAAGTTTAGTAGCGCTCTCCGAGCCAATACTGATGCTTAGAGACACGGACTCTACTTTAGGACAGTGTGCTTTCGTTCTCTGCGGTGGCTCTAGCACAGGGGTCCCCAACTGGCGAGGTCCGGACCCCAATACCATTTTATCCGGACCTCTAAACATTTTTGTTAAAAAGTTTTAGAAAAAAAAAATAAAATGAATTTTTACCAAGAGTCATTTTTGAACAGGCGTGCGCGCGGGCAGCTATGTCTGTGTCAGGTCCTTTGCAAGAGCCGGGGTCTGGAGAGATCATAAACTTTGGCTTACTATGATATTCGTGAATTGATTATTATGGTTTTGTCAAAAATTAGAAAAGTGGACTCTGAAAACCGCATCTTTCGAGATGAGTGGACTGAAGTGTACGCGTTCATTTTTGCCGTCATCAAGCTCTTTGAGGCCCGTGCGTCTTATTTGTTCGGAGTCTGTTGCTGTTGTTAAAAGTGGAAACATCAAGCGGCATTTCGAGACAAGACGCACAACTGTCAATGAAAATTATCCGCCAATAAAAATGATGCTTCCTGTTATTGATGTTGAAAGGTTTGACATGTGAATATTTGCACTAAAATGAAATAATACTTGAATGAATTTCAACAAAAGCAGTTGAATACATTTAAAGATAAAGATTTTATTGTCAAAAATTTTGTCAATGGTTACAATTTAATAAAATTTAATAAAGTGAAAGAAAACTTATTTTGCCGGGTGTTTTTGCATGTCCGGACTCTCCTTTACTGGGCTCATCGGGTTAGTGGACCTCTTGCCAATTTAGTTGGGGACCCCTGCTCTAGCGTTTCAGTCCGGGGATCGAACTGGGCTGCGTCTCAACTCCCCTGCACAGAATTCATCTACAGTCCGATCTGGTTTCAGATCTCATATTATTTATTTACCGTTTGAGTTTTTGATAAATCATTTTCTTGCTGTTGCAGATGACTTAAAGGGTTAGTTCACCCAAAAATTAAAATTCTGTCAGTATTTACTCACCCTCATGTTGTTCCAACCCCGTAAGACCTTCGTTCATCTTCGCAACACAAATTAAGATATTTAAGATATTAAGATCGCTCCTGCATACTAGTCCATAGGCTTCTTGAGGGACTGGCTCTTGCTGTCCTCGAAAAGTCATTAAAGACATCGTTAAAATAGTCCAAGTGACTACAGGGGCTCAATCTTAAGTTTATCAAACGACGAGAACACTTTTGTGCGCAAAAAAACAACAAAAATAACGACTTTATTCCAACTATTCACTTCCTTCTCCATGAGCCTGTAGTCAGTTAACGTAGTGTGATTGTGTAGAGCTACGTCACACGTAGGCTCACTATTGGCCGACGCTGGTCATGTGTGTGATGCGTGTGACGTACAATAACAGAAGCTTACGCTATTAAACTAGTAACCTGACTCGCGCAGAGGGAGAAATAAACGAATGGTTGAAATAAAGTCGTTATTTTTGTATGCAGGAGCGATCTTAATATCTTAAATATCTTAATTTGTGTTGCGAAGATGAACGAAGGTCTTACGGGGTTGGAACAACATGAGGGTGAGTAAATACTGACAGAATTTTCATTTTTGGGTGAACTAACCCTTTAAGCAATCTAGAATAGTTTTAGCTAAATAACAGGTCTGGATCTCCATTTATTTAACACATTACGACAACAAAAGCACTTGAACGCAACACACTGGTAAATACGTTCAAAAGTGGAAAATATCCTGTTTGCTGCGATGCCTCGCTGGCTGTATCTGCCTGTGCTTTTTCGGAGTGTTTCAGGACTGTTTGGATATACAATTGGACCAATCACTGTGGGCGTTGGAATATCTTTTTGGGACCGACTTTTAACTCAGTAAGAGATATTTGCTCCAGCTGATATTAGAGAGATCATAGACCCTTTTACAGTTGGTAAACACGGTGACGTTATTTTGTGGGCGGGGCTTAGGTGGAGGCAGAAAGATCCCTCTGGCCGGTTCACTAATGCTAGTTAGCAAGGATTGTTAGCTTGTTTTTTAACAATGACTGGAGAAAAATCCGATATTATCTTAATGTGTAAGGTCACTCAGTGTCCAGGACCGCGATTGTTATTTCCAAAAGTTATTTTTAACGGACAGAACCAGATTGGCCGACCCGTAGCCGCCTACACGCTCACTCAATGCGTGGTCGATCTGACAGGATTAACGTACGTTACCTCGGTTGAGTGGCCTGACTTCTACACCTACCTTATAGAGAAACCGATCGTAAAGAGAAACTGAGGGCATATAAATCTTTAGGTCCTGTACAAGACTTGTGTGTACGATCCGCAGTTCTGCCGAGTCAGCGCCGAGACCACGACAATGTAAAGAGTGACAATACAGACATGACATTTTCTAGAAATAAAAGTTCCAGATACAGCATATTCATTTTTCATCAATTCTTGCACCAAACAACACAACAAGATGACATTAAATAATAGAAACAATTATTTAAGCTCCTTATTATGTAGCCGAATCTGTGCTGGTTTGTATTGGCCGCCTCCAGTTTTCACTTTGTTTTGCCTCCAGCTAGTGCCGTGACGTAACTGTGACGTCGGCGCAAAAGGGGTCTATAGTTCAGTCATATAGAGACTGAGACTCTGTTCATCCGGCATCTATCCTTGTTGTGTGGAGAGGTTGGGACTTGTATATATGTTATGATTGATACAATAAACTAAATTTGCACATGAAGGTGGAACCGTATTTATTTGTGTAAACTCACTAATATTGAGAGTTGTGTGAGTGTGTGTGTGTGTGTGAGAGAGAGAGTGATAGAGAGTGTTTGTGTGTGGGAGAGAGAGTGTGTGTGTGTATAATATGTAAATATATATTCACCCAGCATGGCTGTGCTGATGTCCACCCCGACCCAGTAGTGTCCGACCTCCGATAAATGATCTCCACTGATCCCAGATCCACAGCTGACGGGTTCAAGCAGGAGAAACCAGGTCAACATGCTGTTACCAGTGTAATGACAGTGTATGACAATCGGTTTTGATGAGGAAAATAAACTGTACAACTAGTGCGGATTAGAACCCAGAACCTCTGACAAACTTGGCAAAAGTTCTGCTTCTGGACCATTAAAGTTCATGGGGATAATTGTCGGATCTGTGTATATAATCACGTGAAAATTCTCACCACCAACAACATATATTAGATCTAATTAAACGACAAATTAAACACAATGTACTATTGTACACTAACACGCTCTGAGCGAGTAACGTTAAATACAAGTACTCCACATCGACTCTAGGGGTCGCTGTTCGACAAAAACGTGATTCCTGCATAGTGCCCTCTGACGGTTTCAGTGAGTTAAAGGTGGAATACCTAAGATTTTTGCATTAAAATATCCCAAAATCACAAGGCCAGTGTTATATATTTAGTTAAGATGATAACATTCAAAAATCTTAAATCTTTAAATCGCGAGAAAATTGAGATTTTAATCAAGGAAACGGGCCGTGTGAGCAGGGGTGAGCTGGGAGTCGCCAGTCAATCGCGTCATTACCCTTGGTTTCCGCTCGTACTGCGTGTAGTCCTGGACAAATGCGGTAGTTGTAGTTGTGCGTTAGCGTCTATCAAGCAACAAACGTTAGCTTGTTTCGCGCATTTGTTATGGAATGGATCACAATTATTCTTTAGCGATTGCACCTGGTTCTGAATCTCATAAACGCAAACGTCAACGAACGGGTCAACCAAACGACCCAAGAAGAATTTGGGACAAGAGAAATAAAACCAGCTCAACATCGGTGTGGCATTTCCTAAATGGCGAGAACTTCGTGAAAAACTCCAACTAGAAAGAGACGCCGATCTTGCATGTGTTTTACTCGACAGGTGAGTAACACCGTGTTCTGTATTCAAATTTCGTGTCAGTAAACGATGCAAAACAATTATTATTATTGTTAGAATGTCTTGTTGTCTATGCATATGATGTGAAAAATCGTAAGGTCATGTTCACCGCGAATACTGTTGGCTGTATCTTAGAAAACGACGATTATCTGAAAAGCGTTTCAACCGTCCCGTTTAAACCTGACTTTTCTTGCGGTTATTTCAGTTTAATGAAAAACAAGCATGTCATTAAATGCTACAGTTATAGAAATCGAACTTTACCTCATCCATGACAACTAATTTTCGATTCCCGTCTGACTGATTTATCCACGGTGGAGTTGAAAACAACAGTTCCCATCATTCCGCGTTCCTCCACGGCGTCATCAAGCAAAGCCGTTGTCGTTGTTTTGAATGTAGCGCCCTCTAGCGGCATAAATCTTAGGTATTGTAACTTTAAGTCTAGTTCACACTACAGGATTTAAGCCCGATTTGCAAATTGTTGAGCTCACCGACAGGTCAGGGTGGATTAGCGGACGATGAACGCTTGGCAATCTGTTAGCATGAAAGAGCCAACAACGCATCAAAGACGATCGCCGAGCCCAGAAAAATATCTAGCCTAGATATCCAGAGCCGTCGCGCGACTCAACCTCAGTGATGTCATGAGTACAGCCAATCATAGCAACGCATGGGTTGAGGTCACCAGGTAAATCTTATTTTTTCTTTTTTTTGCAGAGCAAATCATCGCACAAACAGTTTGCAGCACTAGTTTCTGTCTGACGTCCATATTTGCGTGTCGTGTTCTTCATCTTCTTCGCTGGGCAGTCCCTCCAGGATTTCACGATTTTTTTTTGTGATTTTTGCGATCAAAATGACTGATTTTGTGGTGGTAATTTCCAAAAATTTGTTTTTTTTACATTTAACATTTACCATAATAGTATTCAGTCCTTCCAGAAAAACGCGGAGTTTTTTTGTGATTGTTGCGGGCAAAAATTTATTGATTATGCGTCCAGTTTTCTTTAAAAATGCAATGGAATATGTGGGATATTTATGCAATTTTATGCGATGAAATTGCTGGAATTTGCAAAAATTGAGGGAACTTGCAAAAATTGCGGTTTGATGAAAAAGAGAAAAAAGTGATTCCCCCAACATCCTGTTAATATAATAGTCATTTCTTATTACTTCCTTTGATAAACAAGCATACTACATCATAGAAAGTGCTGGGAATATTTAATTTCTCATCTTGTTTTATTTCAGACTGTAAGAGTGTAAATAAGGTGTGGCCCCTTTAAGAGCTGCGCGCTCCCTGTTGAACTGTCTGCAGTGTTATATGTGCGCCTCGAACCATGTGTGCGATAATTTCTGTTTGATGCTACTACTTTTATCTTATGTTGTGATGTCAATCGCCTCCGTGAGTCTGTCTGGCGTCGCGTAATTGCGTCACTTCATAACGTTCCCATGGAAACATGGGGAAATGGCTGCTCTTGTGTGAAGCAAACGCAACATTTTTCAACTTTCTGATAAGATACATGTGACTTTTTTTTTGCAACGAAAATGCGAGGATTATGAAATTATGCAAACCCCACATATTTTGCACGGAAATCGGCAATTTATGCGGCGAAAGTGTGGCGTATTTGAAAAAATGCGGCCCCCGCATAAATATGCGGACTTTGGCTGATTTTGCATTGAATTCAGCGATCGCATAATCGCGTTTTTCTGGAGGGACTGGCTGGGTATTGGCGCACGTGCTGTTTCGCGTCATTTCGGGTTCGTCTTATCGCGTGATTTTTTTGTGACAAAACCTGGTTTGTAGATTCAGATTCAGATTATTTTATTTCATGCCATGTCAGCAGTCGGAGCTATTTTCATGGCAAAAATTCATTTACAAAAATACAAACATCATATAAATACAACAAAAACAAAACAAATATAAACAAGAAGTCATATTATACAATATATTTTTTTTTAAATTAACGCATGATAAAAAAAATCCAGAACCTTTTCAGGCATAATCTCATTAAACATGTCCTTCAAAGTAGTAACTTCATAAAAGAGCCTTCTGCTTGCATTAAGTCCAGGACAATCTAATAAAAAATGATGTTTAAAATATGTGAGATCGCCTTGATCCATCTCATGTGGGATATCTGTTGTCTCTGAAGGTTTCATGGACTAAGATGGGCTGGACTGCTGTCTCTCATAAGTACACACACTGATTATCATTTATACTGATCATTAATGTTGTTTTGTCTTTCACGGATAGATAAACTCATGAACTATTTGACAGTGGTGCGTGTGGTGACTCCCTTATTTTGTTGCGATTCAGAAGAGATCTTAACATGCCCCTTTAAATAAATACATATGCTTTTCTTTCTGAAATGTGTGTTTGCATTACCCCACATCCAGCAGATAACAGGCCTGATCCTCCGGCAGACTGAGCAGCTCCACCGCTCGCTCCGACATCTGAGTCTGGATCTGCATTATCCGGGAGCTGCCCACACACACACACACAGAAAGCAATTAATTACTTAAATATGGACACAAAAATAAAATGTATCATGTGCAAACAATGCTTTTATCTGTCGATGTCAGACAGCAACAGCCGCTTCTCCACTCACTTCTGGGAGTACTTCTTGGCCTCCTCTTCATTATAGTACTGTACAACAGAAAACAACAACACACACTTGTGTAAATGATACACACCAGCACATACAGTACAGACACACACACTACCTTGTGCATCAATTACAAAAAGTTACACATAGGTAAAAACAGGACAAAAACATCCATGTCAAAAAACTGTCATAAAAATGTGACGCTTTGGAGCACAGACTTAAGTTTGGTATCATTTTAAAGAAGACTCTTTGCAGATTATTGCTGAAGTAAAAAAATAATAATAAGTTATATAGGTATAAGTTTATGAAAATTATTTATAAAAAATATTTTCTAAAAAATTTATATTTTATAAATCAGGTTTAACTCAAAACTGCAATAAAATTAAAGCCATAAATCTAAATAGGTTGTGTTCCAAATTTGAGGACGATATCTCAAAAAATGAGCTTTCGGTAACAGTTTGTTTGGGCGTAGTAACATATTTTCCCCATTGGGTCCCAGCAAAACCCCACTGGAGCTCACAGTGATTGGATCTGAATTTGCAGTTTTTCTCTCTCAGTATTACAAACACACACATACACATATTTTTTTTATAACACACATACTAACCACACTCTGACATCCATACCAACACACCCACACAAATATCGTTGCATAATTTATCCAGTTGGCTCTATAATATGCCGAACCAGAAAACAGGAATAAAGCGATATTTGTTTTATTGCCCAAACTTAAAAAAAATGACACCATCTGATAAAAAAAAAAAATAGTAAAAAATAAAATTTTGAAGCCTTGCCATCAGAATGAAAGCCTCTTAACAAAGATTGCATAATTTTATAGTAAACTGAACCGGGGATTAAAAATGGCAGTTTCAATGGGGACATTTTTGTCCAAAAGGGGCTGAGAGGGAGTATTTTTTGTACCTAATGCAAAAAATAATTTTTTTAAGAAAATTACAGTAAAATAGTAAAATTCCAATAAAAATACACACCTGTGCCAAGTTTTTTGCAGTTAGCATTAACACAGGCAAAGTGATCAAAAAAACAAAACAAAACTGAAAAGGACAAAAATGTCCATAAGGATGCACAAGGGTTAACGTTCGACTAATGTTATTTTCTTTCAGCATGCCTACATATATGATTGGTGGTTGTTTTGTAAAATAAGACCCGATCACGTGCTGTTTAGGTAACTACACTAGTGAGGGTCGATCCTCGGGCTACTGAAGCGCTTCGGGTCGAGGTCAGTGTCTAGCAGACGCTCAGCTATCGGATTGGGTTGATTTAAAAAAGAAATTTGATTCAGATTACGTGATCTGGATCAAACCTCTGTTCAAAACGCTTCAGTAAGATTCGGATACTTTTGATCCAAATAATCCTAAAGTTATCCCGATCCCAGGATACTTTTGATCCAAATTAGGGTGGATTCAGGAACAAAACTACTAACAAATATTAATATGTGTTCTTGATGTGGTTTAGCACTTCAGATCTGGATTGCTCATCTGATCCACATTAACCAGTGGATGTTTTACCTTTTTTAACACCTTATGTTATTAAAAAAAAATGATATGCATGTTTTGAGTCTGTTTTCTGCATCTTTTTGACAAATCCCTACATTTAATAGAATAACGTGACACTGTCTGTTACCAATCAAATAAAAGCAACATCAATAAAACCCATCATTGAAAGGCTTATCCTGAATGAACTTTAAAATTGGACAAGTTTAAAAGAGAAAATGTCTTATTCTGTCTTAACTGTTCAAATGATTTACTGTCTTCTTCAAATATGAATGCCAAGATCATTCGCTTAATTAAAAACACAAACTGAATCCTGTTTCTTTACAGACTCAATCATTGACCATTGTTATGATGAATCATTTAGCAGTTAAACTCATGGAGAAGAACAGCGGAAATAGAGAATAATAATAACTCATAACTAGTGTGTCAGTGAGTGTCGCGGACATTAAAGGACTGGTCGTCAGGCTCGTCTGTGTGTTTTGTATGTTGTTTGTTGTGTACATGTTCAATGACAACAGCCCATCTCAGCAGCACTGAAGAGTAAGTTAGTTCACTCACCACCTCTGGAGGAGCCATGTGCTCAGGTCTGCGGCAAGACATGATGATACTGACGGAGAATAAACCTGTAACCAGCAACTTCAGATCACAACACACTACTGTAACAACCACAACACATGTGGAGAACAGCGGGGTCTGGCGAGCGCTGATGACGTCACCTCCCGGCGACAGACACGAGACCACAGCCACAGGCAGCAAAATATAATATTTTACTTTGAACGAATAAAAATAATTAACTTGTAATCGCAGTAGACTGTGACATGTCCGATCTGAAAAGCGCTGAGAAAAGTGACAGTTGCGGACATGGTGTGACATTTGTGATTTTATCAAATGTTATGTGAATCCTAATTTATAGGATCAATTTATATGAATTTACACATAGAAATGTAATTATTAGTTTTCATTAATGTGAAAATAAAATTTAATAGGCCAATTTCACATTCACAAATGTACATTTTCTAAATGCAATCCTCTTTTTTTTTTGATTTAAACATGAAAATGTATTTTGAATCTATTGAGTTCTCAAAAAACGTAAATGTTATAAGAACAGTGGCTGTGTTTAAGGGTTTGCACTTAATCTGGATTAAAAAGACTGAAGGAACTTAATCTGGATTGAAGGACTCTGCTGTATTATGTTATGACAATGACAATAATTGATTACGAGCGTGTAATAAAAAAGTGACAGTTGCGACGTGACCCACGATGTGTTTACATCGGACAACAATATAGTTATTAAGACCCAATTTAACTGAAAAATTGGAGACAACGAGCCCCGTGCTTTTGATAATTTATTTTACTTTCTTTTTTCTTGCAAAACATACAAAATGGCATGTTTATGATATACAACTTTGTATACGCAAAATGCATAATAATATACAATGTTATCAGAAATACTTATGAGAAAATTAGAGTTAAAGAGCCAAATACTAAAAAAAATAATAAAAAAAAACAATGAAAGAACATGAGGGTAACATATAAATCTATACATCATTGTTCAAATTAAAGTCCTCACAAATGGAAGACGTTCTACTTGCTTTCTTATTTACTGAAGAGAAGATGTAATTATATTAACATACATTTTAAATTCTTACAAAAACACACACAAATTTACATTTATGGATATAAAATTTGCAAAGAAAAAAAAACCCCCCTGTAGAGCACATTATAATGTCTAAAATATAATGAAAGGAAATGTCTGATTTCCAACTTTAAAACAACAAACAAGTTACAAAAGAATTCACATAATAAATGAATATCTGAAAATGATTTTTATTGCACATTTTAACAAACAGAAGATACAAAACAGACAAACTCTCAGAAAATAAACACTTTATAGCTCAATAGTCGACAAGAAAAAATATATAATTAACCATTATAATATAATAACCATTATTATAATATAATTAAAATTAGTTGCTTAACCTTGACCATCAGGGGGCGACAATGCACCTACAACCTCTGCATTAAACAAAGAAGAAGAGCTCTTTAGCCAATAGTACGCCGTTTTGAGTGTATCCTGTCTCTGATTGGTGGATATTTTCATTGTTTTGCCGGAAGTGAGGTCTGGTGAGACTGCGGTGATGGCGGAGGTCAGCGGCAGTGTGAGGAGTGGCGTTCACGGAGGTGGCAAGATGGCGGAGAGAGCGGACGCTCTGTGAATAGCTCAGAGTAGCAAAACCTTTAAAATCAACGGAATGTTCTTATAACTTATCAAAACCCCAAGTTATTAAATGTAAAACCGTAGGGATCTTATCCTAATAATTTAGAAACGTGTAAGTAACCCTGTGCACTTCTTTGAGAACGTTGTAGACCATAACATGGCTAGCTCTAAAGCTAATGCTAAAATGAAGGCTCTCCAAGCACACGACTACTGTGGTACAGAAAGTATGGAAACGAATATAAAAGGTACCAAAAATAGCCTAACATCGCCTTCCAAACCACCGGCACCACCAAAAAAGTCAAAACAAGACGACGTCGTGGCTGCTGGCGCCCATGCAGATGACGCATCCAACGCGGCAATCCTGGCTGCTATCGGCACTCTTCAAAACATGATGCAAGATTTCAAAGAGGATCTAAAGCAGAACACACTGACCATAGCCAACATTGCGAAAGCGGTAGAGTTTAACTCTGCAGAAATCAAAGATTGTAAGGAACAGTCCCAGAAACTGCACGTCGAGGTTAAACAACTTAAAGAGATGAACACGGAGCTTGGAAAAAGAGCAGCAGAAGTGGAAAAAAGAGCTGCAGAATTGGAGCGTTATAAAAGAAGATGGAACCTGCGAGTAAATGGTTTAAAGGAGGAAAAAGACGAAAACACTCGACAAATCATCTCTGAGATCATCGGAAAGATTATGCCACACTGGAGGGATAAGATGGACTTCATCCTGGATTCGGTACACCGTCTGGGACCGAGTAACACCAACCGCCCTCGTCAGATCATCATGCAGTTCACAGGACGACACTTCAGGGACGAACTCTGGCGCATCACCAAACTTCACTCCGTTTGCAAGGATCTCAACATCCGATTCGCAGAGGACCTCACCAAAGAAGACAGAGTGGCACGGATGGCTGTGTGGCCGAAAGTCGAACAAGCGAGGAAGGCAGGTCTAAAGACAGTGTTTCGGGGTCCCCATGCTTTCATTAATGGCCAAAGAGTCTTGCCATAGACACGTCGTTCCACGGTTTTTTGAACAAGTGAGTTCGAATGATAACGTGTCCTCAGGGTTTTGCTACTATTACATTTTCCTAATAGGAAACTCTACTGTTGTTTAAGTTCTATTATCCATTGTTGATTGCTTGTTATTTTGTTTTTTACCTATGTTCACTTTAAAGAGTAACATCTCTTTAATGTCTGTTAATGCAAGGGGTTTAAGAGACATGACAAAGAGAAAAAGTATTTTTTTATTTTGTAAGGGGAAGAAGTCTAATATAATTTTTTTGCAGGAAACTCATTCTAATGTCGATGATATTACCTTCTGGTGTAAACAATGGGGAGATGAAGCTTACTTTAGTCATGGCACTTCAAAGTCAGCAGGTGTCGCCATCCTCCTAAATAACTTCAAAGGTCAAATTGTGTCCCATAAGGCAGATGAGTTTGGTCACTGGCTGATTCTTATTATAAACATTGATGGTCTGAAATTCATCTTAGTCAACCTTTATGGCTATAATATTAGAAGAGAAAACCGAAACCTACTTGAACGAATTGGATTACAATTAGATAATCTTAAATTAACTCACTCAACTGATAACATCATAATTGGAGGTGATCTTAACCTAGTTCATGATGAATTTTTTGATAGATACCCTCGCAGACACTCTGCTAGCCACCCAAACACCATATTCACAAACTTTTGTGAAAAACATGACTTGGTTGATACTTGGAGACATTTTAACCCAGGAATATTTAAATACTCATGGTTTAGTTCAAGACACAGTTTTAAATCCAGAATTGACCATTGGTTAATTACAAATAATTTACTGCTTTATAATATTATCTCTGATATTTCTGCTGCACCACTAACCGATCATAGTGTTATTTTACTACAGATCAAACCCAATGATACCAATATCCACTCACACACTTATTGGAAGTTCAATTCCAGCCTGCTCAAAAATAATGACTACTGCCAGAAAATCAAACTGTTAATTAAAGAAATTGCCAATTCTAAGGAGCTAACAACTGCTATCAAAAAGTGGGAATTCCTAAAATATAAAATACGCCAATTTACCATCTCATTCAGTAAAATAATTAAAAAAGATAGTGAGAAACAAGAAGTAGACATTATTAACCAGTTAAATTTTTATTGTAATAGGCTAAACCCAACTGAAGATGATAGACAGAAGATATTAAGCCTCCAGCCTAAACTGGATGAAATTTACAGTCGTAAGGCCCTAGGAGCCTTCATTAGATCCAGGGCAAAGTGGATTGAGGAGGGAGAAAGGAATTCAGCGTATTTCTGTGGTCTGGAAAAAAGAAGACAGGAAAAAAATAGCATCAAATCCTTGATTGTTGATAATAATGAAGTCACAGATGAAAAATTGATCTCTTCAGAAATCTGGAAATTTTATAGCCAGCTTTATAGCTCTAAATTCTCTAATGGGGACTGTAAAAAATTCTTTCAGGAAATAGCACAACATATTCCCAGAGTAGAGGATGGCTTCAAACAAACATGTGACAATCAAATAACAATTACAGAACTTGACGCAGTAATTGGTCGGCTCTCTCTTAACAAAGCCCCTGGCTCCGATGGTCTCACAGGTGACTTTTACAGACATTTTTATGTAGAATTAAGAGACCTACTGCTACAAGTTTTTACTGAAATTTTTGAAACATGTGTGCTTCCACCAACAATGAGACATGGGGTTATCATCTCAATTCCAAAACCTGGGAAAGATCCCAGAATTATAGATAACAGAAGACCCATTACTCTTAGAAATTCAGACTACAAACTTCTAACTTATATCTTCACTCTTCGTCTTCGAAAGGGTATTTCGAATCTTATTGCAGACACACAGTCAGGGTTCTTAAAAGGGAGGTCAATCCATAACAATATAAGACTGGTAATGGATATAATTGAGTATAGAGGCCAAATAGAGGATGATGGTTTCCTTCTCTTTCTAGACTTCTATAAAGCGTTTGACTCTGTGGAACATCCATTTATTCTTTCAGCGCTAGAACACCTTGGTTTTGGAGTCAAGTTCAGAGAATTTGTAGGTGGATTATATAGAGATATTAGTAGCTGTGTTCTATTACCTAGTGGTACCACCCCAAGCTTCAAGATTAATGTGGGTATTCCACAGGGTTGCCCCATCTCACCATACCTGTTCATATTAGCCACAGAAATGCTAGCAATCTATATTAAAAACTGTTATGATATTAAAAAACTCAATGTACTTGGCACAGACATAATAATTAGCCAACTAGCAGACGACACAACAATATTCTTAAAAGATAGATACCAAATTTCAACAACTATTGCCAAAATTGAAAACTTTTCCAAAGCCTCAGGCCTAACATTAAATTTAAAAAAGTGTGAATTGCTGGCAATACATGACACTGAACTGGAAGATATTTGTAATATTCCTATTAAATCGGAAATTAAATACCTGGGGATCTACCTATCCAAGGACCAAAAACAAAGCCAACTTCTGAATGTAGAAAATAAAATTAAGGAATGTAAATCAAGACTAAATATATGGTTACAGAGGGACATTTCAATTTTAGGACGAATTTACTTAACTAAGATGGAATGCTTATCGAGATGTATTTACCCAGCCTACTCCAATGCCATTCCAAACAAATTAATTAAATCTATCAACCAAATCAACCTAAACTTCGTTTGGAGAAATAGACCACATTATATGAAGAAAAGCAATATGGTTAAAGACACAAAGGATGGAGGACTAAAAGTTATTGATTTTGACTGCCTTAATGGAACCTTAAAAATAAATTGGTTAAAATCTTGGATCAAACACAACAACTCTTTTTGGTATTGTATTCCAAATAGTTTATTCAAGAAAATAGGAGGATTAGAATTTCTTCTTAGAGTGGACTTTAATGTTGACAAATTACCTATATCCTTGTCAGAGTTTCACAGACAAATACTTTTGTATTGGAAAATGTTGTACGTTCATAACTTCTCACCCCACACATCTGTACTCTGGAACAACAGATATGTTCTGTACCGTAACAGATCTCTGTTCTTTGAAGACTGGTATGGGAGAAATATATGGTCCATAGTTGACTTAATGGATGCCAATGGTAATTTCTTAAATTATGATCAATTTTGCATCAAACATAATTTCCAACCCTTAAAATCAGACTTCACTAAATTACACAGAGCGTTACCCCAACAATTTGTCTTTCTAATAAGAAACACTTTGGCATATTATCCGATACAACCACAATTGGCCCCACTATCAATTCAAGGGATCTCTGTATTAGATAGGAAATGCACTAACCATTTTATTAGAAATTGTTTTACTGAATACCTTTTCCCTGAAAGGCAAAATAAAAATAATATTATACAAAAATTTGATAAAGCGACAATTACTAAACTAAGAACAATGTATCTAACACTCCCTATACCTCCCAAAGTGAAAGAAACTCACTTTAAAGTAATGAACGACATTTATCCCTCTAAAGAACTACTGAGACTTCGCTTTGGTATAGAGGATAACACATGTACATTCTGTGAAAATGATGTTGAAACTACGGACCATGTGTTTTTCTCATGTAATGTGATTCAGATATTTTGGTGTGATGTACATAAATGGGTTAAGCAGCAGATATCTTCATTCCCACCTCTATATCCAGAGACGATGTTACATTTGGGTTGTTATTGCAAAGCAAGGGTGATGAGCTATGTATTAATACAATTGTATGTCTAGCCAAATTCTTCATTCATAAGTGTAGAACTGTGAAATCATCTCCCAAATTTGTAGTTTTCTTGAAGGAATTTGAACTGTATATAAAATCTTTAAAAACTTTGAAAGGTCCTAAGGCACAAAAAATATATGATACCCTAAAACTCTTCCCAACTGAGATTAATGGATGAACAAAGACTGCATTCACCCCTTATTGTCATGTATGTTTTATCATTATTCTTCCCATTTACTTAATTATTTATGGGTTTTTTTTTATGTTTATTTTCCTTACAAATATCCTTTTTGTACTTAGACTTCATTTATTTTCTTGTTGTATTAAGTGCTGCTCCCTCTGGCTATATTTTCTTTATACTCTATATAAGAAAAGAAAGTTATGCAGCCATGTTTGTTTGTAAATCTTGAAAATGCAATAAAAAAAAAAAAAAAAAAAAAAAAAAAAAAAAAAAAAAAGGAGTGGCGTTCACAAACTCTACGTTATTAAAACACTGCGATCGCATTACTACCCTCCTCCTCCTGCGCCACCGGGAGCTCGCGCACACAGCAGCCGCAGCACAGCCGCTGACTCGGACCCCTCCGCGTCGCTCCACCGCAGCCGCACCGCGTATTACGACATCCTGAAGGTTTCCCCGAACGCCACGCAAGCGCAGATCAAGAGCGCCTATTACAAGCAGTCGTTCCTGCATCACCCGGACCGGAACCTCGGGCGCAGCGAGGAGGCGGCGCGGAACTTCGCGCTGGTCGCGGAGGCCTACAGTGTGCTCGGCAGCATTGGCCTCCGGAGGCGTTACGACCGCGGCGCTCTCGAGCAGAGCGACGTGCAGAGCGCCGGGAGACCGAGCTCCTCGAACGCGCCCAGACAGCGGCCTCGACGCGCCGCCAACGTGCGCTTCGACTTCGACGCGTTCTATCAGGCGCATTACGGCGAGCAGCTGCAGAGAGAGAAGGATACGCGACGCCGGGAAGAGCTCCTCCGGAAGCTGCAAGAGGAGAACTTCCGGAAGTGGAAACAGGGGAAACTGACGGAAGTGACGGTGACGTTCCTGCTGATCTGTGGAGTTGCTCTTCTCATCAGCCTGAGGTCCTCCTGAGTGTGTGAACAAACGAGAATTACATACTGACTGACTGACTGACTGTTTCACAGATGGAGAACTCTTTAATCAATGAAAGTGTTTGTTTTGACGGAATGTAGGTTATTTATTTACAGGAATATGGCTGTAATGTTGTTCATTGAACATTGGTCCTGTGAATGTGCGATTTATAGCCAAATTAAGCTAAAAACAAGAATAATAAACCTCAAGCCTGTTTATGGTCATAATAATGTCCAGTATGATGGACTGGAAGCACTTGACAAGTTAAAGTCTCCATGAAAGCAAAATGGAGCATTCTTGTGTGGGTTTTTGTTGACAGAACTCAACGCAGGTGTCAAATTAATATGTTAATTGTCTCAATTTCAAATCTGCTGGTTCAACAGATTATTTAAATAAGTTCAATAAGCTACCAATCAAATAAAATCAATTCAAGATTCATCTCTGCACTGTAGAAGAACCAAAAGGTGGCATTAGGTATATTTACTTTATATTTATATTGTATATTTAATGAGGTTTAGGAGTGGCATGAATGTATTTAAATATAAATTTTAATGTTTCAAACAGGAGGATTTGAATATAGAAATATTAAATTATTTAAAGTAAAGCCAGTAGGGGGCGAAGCGTCTCTGTCACTGAATCATTCATTCAAGAGATTTGTTCAAACGGCTGATTCAAATCAAGCGACTGTGTTTATGAATGGGTTTTATTGAATCGTTGACTTAGCAGATTCGTTTGAAAGCGCAGATTGATTCGCAAGGGAAACGCCAGTTTGCTCAGAGATGTTTTGAACTGAAACAGCAAAATTATTTCTAAAATATAGACCATTTCACAAGATGTAAACAACACTGGTCCAGAAGCACTTCCTGTTTCAGTTTTTTAACACTACATAAATGCTGGGATAAAATACAACCAACAGAACATTTAAAACTGAATCAAAACGTTAAACAAACATCTTTAAGATGTTTTCTTTACATGTGAAATAAAAAAAAACAGTTACAAACTGAGACAGGAAGTGCTTCTGGACCAGTGTTGTTTACATCTTGTGAAATGGTCTATAAGTCGCTTAACATTAACTTTTTGTATAAAAACATTACATTTGCTCCCTTTATAACCATTAAACGCTGCCACTAGTCTCCGTTCATCACGATCTCACACACTTCCCTTATAATCAATGAAGAAGTGGTCTACACTGCACAATGCATCTGTTATATGCACGTTCCTGTCCTTCGCTATGATGAGAGAGCCCGATGAAACTCCAGCATTGTGAGCGGGTTTGAACTGAAACGCCTCTGATTGGCCATTGTGTCTCAAGATGTCAACAGATCTCACTGTGATTGGCTACATTTCTCAACACTGTAAAACACATTCTCATCACTCTCTCCCGAGTGCGAACACATACGCACTGGCACTTTTCATAATTTGTGTGACCTATATATGCTGTCAATAATAATAATATTATTGCAATAATATCGTTTTACTGAATAATTAAGTAAACCTAAGTTCTTAAAGTATCTTTGTAAAGAAACTTGGTTGTTTGACTGGCTCCTCTCTACCGTCTCAGACGACGACATCACTTCCTGTCGGCCACCGTAACTTCTGTTGGGTTTAATTCACAAGATCACCACTATATGCCGCTAAACATTACACACTGCAGCTTTAAGGTAAATGGACTGTATTTATATAGCGCTTTCACAGACCCAATTTTGGTGATCAAAGAAGAGTTTTAAGGGATAAAGCTATTGACTACAGGAGGGTTTTAAAAACCTTTTGTCAAAAGTCATGATGTCATGTTGGAAATATAAAGTTTAATGTGAAGGTCATCACTTCATACAAAAGCTCAGAATGATCAAAACTCATTCCACCACTAGCATAAAAACTTAATAATAAATCAAAACTCAGCAGTAGACAAGAAATAGTGACTAAATAAAACGAGGGAAATGTATGTGAACTACAATACAGCAATCATGTTCAGTTATTAAAATGATGATGATGATGATTGGCGCATGTACCAGCCTGTAATGTTGAATAAGACATCGAGCACAACATACTCTCTCCCCAAGTGTGCGATTCAAGGACACATAAATGTGAAATATTGATGCTCTCCTGAGGCTGCGGTGAAGCTGACGGATACACACTCTCTGTCCTCAGAGAAATGACAAACCCGTCAAATAGAAGTGGGTTTCCACTAGTGTTCATGAAGATCTGCCTCAAGAGAACAAGTCCTCAAAACCACATCCATTCTTCTTCATCTAAATAAAGCATATGCCAGCTCTGAAGCAGACTGTGGTGTGTTTAGGCGTCACTCAAGAACACACACCTGTGCTGCAAACAAGGCGTATCATGACTGAACAGCCACCCATGAGGAGTCAAGTGAGCGCCTCAGAAACAAAGTAATCCCAGCATGACCGGTCATGAAACCAGCAGGCCTACTTTACTCATCTGACAGTATATCTAGCAAATCACAATGATTTTTTTTCAAATGTAGTCAATTGAAAATTATACAAAAACTCTTGATGCTTGAGCGACCCCTAAATATTCACCAAAACGAAGTTGTGGACGTCTTTTGGACTGCCCTAGAAAAACCCTTTGACATTTATAAATTGAGCACATTGCAGCCGCGGCTCCACAGGAACAGCCCACATCGGTTCACCAGAGGCTATTGTTGGGCTGACACTGTGGACACCTAAACCATCTGTACTGAAATAGCGCTTAGAGGTCGACCAATGGATTGTTTTTACTGATTAATCTGCACAGTATAGTCATTTATCGTTTAGTCATTTAGACATCCATCCATCCACCCACATATCCATCCATCCATCCACCCACCCACATATCCATCTATCCATCCATTCACCCACCCACATATCCATCCATCCACCCACCCACCAATCCATCCATCTACCCACCCACATATCCACCCACCCACCAATCCATTCATCCATCCACATATCCATCCACCCACCAATCCATCCATTCACCCACCCACATATCCATCCATCCACACACCAATCCATCCATCTACCCACCCACTCATATATCCACCCACCCACCATTCCATCCATCCACCCACACACCAATCCATCATTCACCCACTCATCCATCCATCCACACACCCACCAATCCATCCATTCACCCATATATCCATCCATCCACCCACCAATCCATCCATTCACCCACCCACCCATATATTCATCCATCCACCCACCAATCCATCCATCCATTTACCCACCAAGTCATCCATTCACCCACCCATATATCCATCCATCCACCCACCAATCAATCCATTCATTTACCCACCAATCCATCTATTCACCCACCCACCATTCCATCCATCCACACATCCACCGATCCAACTATTCACCCATATATCCATCCACCCACCCACCATATATCCATCCACCCACCAATCCATCCATTCACCACCCACCCACCCACCAATCCATCCATTTACCATCCAATTCATCCATCCACCCACCAATCCATCCATTCACCCACCCACCCATATATCCATCGATCCACCCACCAATCCATCCATCCATCCATTTTTTAATTTTATTTACAGGGTCAATGCACATTAATAAACAAGTGTAAACGTGCCAGAATTAGCCCAATAGGCTATTTTTCATCCGTAGACCCTTGACAGAATGTTACACAGTCACCCTAAATTTACCCACCCATTTACCCACCAATTCATCCATTCACCCACCCATATATCCATCCATCCACACACCAATCAATCCGTTCATTTACCCACCAATCCATCCATTCACCCACCCACCATTCCATCCATCCACACATCCACCAATCCATCCATTCACCCATATATCCATCCATCCACCCACCAATCCATCCATTCACCCACCCACCCACCCACCAATCCATCCATCCATTTACCCACCAATTCATCCATTCACCCACCCATATATCCATCCATCCACCCACCAATCCATTCATTTACCCACCAATTCATCCATTCACCCACCAATCCATCCATCCATTTATCCACCAATTCATCCATTCACCCACCCATATACCAATCCATCCATTCACCCACCCGCCCATATATCCATCCATTCCACCCACCAATCCATCCATTCACCCACCCGCCCATATATCCATCCATCCACCCACCAATCAATCCATTCATTTACCCACCAATTCATCCATTCACCAACCCACATATCCATCCATCCACCCACCAATCCATCCATTTATCCACCAATTCATCCATTCACCAACCCACATATCCATCCATCCACCCACCAATCCATCCATTTATCCACCAATTCATCCATTCACCCACCCATAATCCATCCACCCACCAATCCATCCATCCATCCACCCACCAATCCATCCATCCATTCACCCACCCATATATCAATCCATCATCCATCCATCCACCCATCGTCCATCTGTCCACCCACCCATATATTCAGCCATCCATCATCTATCCATTTCCTTCACCCATTTCTCCACCCATTCTCCAAACCGTGGAGGATTTTAAACATCGACTGAGAAAAAAAAGCCAAGATGAATATAAGACATGTTATCATTTGCCGTGTTCAGGTTGGCTTTCATTTATAATGTTAAAATCTGCCAATTAATCAGTTTTTGGCCTGTTTTCCCACTTATTATGCAACAGTTCATCATGTTGACCTCTATAGCCACATTGATATGTTTCCTTTAGCCCAATTGTCTTTTTCTTCAAAACTTCCATTTATGAGTTTAGGTTTGGTGACCTGCGGAAACACAACTAGTTCACATTTAACAAATGATCCGGTTAAGGGGGACGTGCATGCCATTGTGCTTCTGTCATTATCAACAGATCAGAACATGGAGGTTCATGAAACATGACGACTGCTAAAACCACACGAGTGAAAGAGCTCCGACAGCACACAAACCAAACACATGAGAAACAAAACCACTCGTCTTTAACGGGTTACGCGGTTCATAAGAGCAATGACTCATGGGAACATGTACTCAAACAGATGCGCAAATACTGACAATATTGTGAAGGTCTGTCGATTTCATTCACTTTACGGATGATGGGAAGAATGTCGTAGAGTGGGAATCATGTACGCAGGAACGAGTTCAGCACGTCACAGGACAGGAAACAGTGGTCAGACGGCTTGACTTCACTTCCTGTGGAGATGAGAGAGTCTCCTGATATCTGATCTGATCCTCATCTGTGAAGCGCTCCAATAGGAGCCTTATTTAGCAAACACAGCTTTGATTTGAAATGTAACTGTAAACCGAGTTCACACTGGTGACGTGTGTGTTTGTTAAATAAGCCCTTCGTGCAGAAAAGGTTTCACATAAAAGTGAAGTGATGTGCAGGTCATCACATCCCATAAAAAGGTCCTTTTTGGCTCTGATTTGAAAAATACAGATAGACGAGTGATGAAAAATATCACATTTTACACTCATTGTACACAGAAAAAGAA